CTCAACGCCGCGCAGCCCTGGCGCCTCGACCGCGATAGGACGGTGCACCCGCGGTGCTGCAGGATGCCACCGCTCGTCGAGATCCTGTCCGTCTTGTCATCGGCCCAGTCGGCATCCACCCAACACTCCACTGCAATGCTTCCCTTGTTCGAAATCAACTGCATCTTGTAGTCGCGCGCGCCTGCAGGGTACCGCGCCATTTTCTTAAACCTCCCCAAGCCCTTCTCCGTTGGTCCTGACATGCCCCGGCTTAGAACTCCAACTACGCGTTGAATGCAGGGCGGTGGCTCGCCAACTGCAGCACCGTCTCCACTCGGATTCTATAGCGACTGCGGCCCACCGTATCCAGCTTCACCTCGTCGCTCTTCATGCGCACCTCGTTCTTGGTCTCGGGCAGCACTGATGGCTTCGCCGCCTCCAGGCCCAGCTCCTTCAGGAAGTCGTCGATCATGCTCGTCTTGCCGCTGATCGCGCAGCCGCCCTCGACCGTCTAAACCTGCATGCTCGGGAACGCCGCCTGGACCCTGTTCTTGGTGAGCTTCACCGCGTCCGATAACTTCAGTCTGTCTCCCATCACCTCCGGCAACATGTCGACCTCGTCGCTCGGCCCAGTGATCAGGAAGTCGCCCGCGCGCCCCCCCGCCTTCACCCTGTTGCTCAGCTTCATGAGGAGACGCCCGTCGTAGGCGGCCCCTGACCAGTTCCAGCTCCTCCATGGCGTTCGCGCTGATCCCCCCAAGCCTTCGGCGCTCCTTTGAGTCCTGGAAATGCACGCGCCGCCTCCCGAACATGTCCTTCAGGTGCTCCTGCTTCTGGTGGCGGCTCCAGGAAATGCGCCCCTCGGTGAGCGGCGCCTGGTAGAAACCCCAGGGCAGTCGCATTCGGGTGTGGAAGTGAGGGGGTCGCGGCCACGAAGCTCTCGTGCCCGTGCACCTGCTGCTCGAAGCCCCTCGTGGTCCACCGACTCTTCTCGCTGCCTCCGCCCGGTAGGCGTCGGCCCACTTCCCTGTCAGGATATTTGATGTCGTGTCCTTGACCGGGATCACCTGCGCGATCTGCTTGCCGTCTCCTGCGATCACTTCCAAGTGCTCCTTCCTTGCCTCCGCGAAGTCGCCCTCCAGTGCGCGCGTCTCCTCATCCTCCACCCGCGGCCCTTCGCGCATCTCTCTGGCCGCGCTGATCATCTGGATGGTAATGGCCCTGGACTTCTTACCTTCGCTTCCTTCTCCGCCTTCGCGTTCTCACTTGGGGCCCCTCTCTGCCGGCGGAATGCCCGCTGGCTTCGGCGGCGCCGCCCTCGGCGCCGACGGTCCCGTCTCCTCGCCCCTGGGCCTCTTCGTCTCCAACCGCCTCTTGTCCATGTCCACGTCGTCGCACGGTGCTGTCGCCGCCGCTGCAGCTGCTGGCTGTGGCGGCGCCGGTTGTGGCCCTCCTCCCGCTGCTGCTGCTGCCCCTGCTGCGGCCGCCGCATTCGGGCCCAGGTACTTCGGCAGCGGCCCGAGCAGGATCGGTTCCTGTAGTAACCTCTGCGTAGGCGGCCCCCCCCCTCGCGGTTGGCGTCGGTTCCCCGGGCGCCCATCTCGTCTTGTCGAACAGCTCGTCGCCCCAACGTCGGCCCCCCACCTTCCTCTTCGCGGCCCTCGACCTGCGCGCCCCAGTCGGTGTTCCGATCGGGTGTTCGTCCGTCGTCGCGTCGCGCCCTAGCCAGATGCCCTCCAGCCACGACAACTCCAGCTTGTTGACCTGGGCCCCTGGCCCCCTGCAGATCACCTCCTCGCCGACTGCTACGATGGGTTTCTGGTACTTGAGCACGCGGGTCTTCTCGTAGGGCGTGGGGATGGCGCTCTCCCTGCCCATGCATACGTTGTAGAGCCGAGCTGCACGCCTCGGCAACCACGTGAGGAGCGGGGAGTCGGGCTTGAGGTTGTGGTTCAGCTTCTTACTGACCTGCAGCGTCAACGTCCTCGCCTGCTTCCTCGGTGTCTGGACGGTTCTCTCAGCCCTGCCGTTCGCCTGGCCGTTGTGCCTCTCCGACTGCCGCGCGGAGATCGCCTCGCCGATGCCGTCTTTGATCGCCCTGGCCCTGGCGGCTACGATGAACGAGAACTGCGCTGCTCCTCCTGCTTGTAGTTCCACTCGTGAGTGTCCGAGCTCGGCTAGCCACGAAACTGCCGAGGCTTCGGTGTAGACGTCGTCGCGACCCTTCTGGATGATGATGGCCGCGCCCAAATGCCCCCTGTCGAAGCGTCGCTGCCCACCGCGAACTCGAAGTTGACGGGCCCCCCCTCGATGCCCGCCTGGCCGTAGTCGAAGCTCAACAGTGGGATCAGCTCGTCACGCGTGTCCTTCTCCTTGTAGGCTACGATGTTGGCCTTCGCTTGAACGCAGATCTCGCACCGCGGTTCAGCTGGGTGGCGCGTCAACTCGTGCCTCTCGATCTCCTCCGCGCTCGGCTCTCGAGGTCCACGTAGTCCGCTGGCTGTCGTCTCGGGGCCCACCTTCTCGTGATCGTCGGGAACTGCCGCTGGCCCCTCTGACGGTGCATCCGCCAATACATCTGCGGCTCCTCGTGATGCGACCTGTGGTTGCTGCCGCTCTCCCGGTCGTAGTAGTCGTGGCCCTCCTGCCAATGCTCGGTGAACTGCGCATCCGTCTTCGTCCTCTTTACCTGGTCGCGCTGCTGCGACTGCCGCCCCGATCGGCGCCAGTAGCGTCATCTCCCTGTGGGCCCCCCATGTCATCGTACATATTGGTCCAGTACTCCAGCGCGTATATGGTTGTTGAACTTCTTAAGCTTGACCAGACCTGCCATCTCGTGCCTCAGCAGCCCCCCCATGCCGTCGTACCACGCCACGCGGTTTTCCATCCTGCTGCAGAACATGCCCACGCCCATGATGGGCTGCTTCACGTCGGTGACCTGGAACCCCATGATAATGCGTCTGTCGCCGGCTATGTAGAGCGCCACCGTATTCGATCCGTAAAGCTTCAGTGGCGTGCCGTCCGCGACCGTCTGGTTGGGGTTGCGCCCTGGCTTGAGCTCCACGCTCGGGAAGCCCCGGATGCCGCGCACGTGCTCGTCCGCGCAGTTGTCCGTCAGCATCCAGAACGAACGCCACATGCCACCCCCCATCATGCTGTATACCTCCCTCTCCTGCACCTTTGGCTTCCCGGGCTTCGAAACTGCGAAGATAAAACCACCTTCCCCCTCTGACGCGGACTCGCCCATCGCAGTGGTCGCTCGAAATCCTGCCCCCGCATGGCTGGCTGAAGGTCCTGCTGTAGGCGGTGTTGGACTTCCTGGTGGTGGTGTGCTGATGTTGCTCCAGCCGTCGTACATCGTGATCTCGTGGACTCCTCCTCATCTGTCCTTTTTCTGGACCTTCTGCGTACCCTTGTCGTAGTTGGGGTTATCCTGTCGATGCCAGCAGCCCCTCGCATAGTGTCCCCTCAGGCCACAGTTGTAGCAAAGCCTCGCCCCACGTGCTCCTGTCATACTCCAAGCTGGCTGTCGTGCTGCGGCTGTCCTCGCCGTGGGATCCGCGCCCTTGCCCTTCTGGTCTTTGCTCCTTTTCTTACTATGTGTCGTCTCTGTGTTTACCTTTGTCGTCCTTGCCCTTGCCTTTGGGATGCTGCCGCGTCAGCGCGCCAACCTCCATGGCTCCTGAGGCTCGACCTCCTTTGCCGCCTTCTGCTCCTGGTCCTGGTGGGCTTGGCCATTTCTGCCGGTACCCGTCCTCAAACACCGACGCCGCGTGCAAGTGCTGCATCGTGGTGCTGATCAGCTCGTCGTAGCTCCTATCGCTCTGCATCTGCAGTACCGCCCTGGTGTTCTCAGGAGCCTTATGTGAGTAGATGCTCTTCTTGACTCCTGCGTTGAACACCTCTCCGGGTGCCGTCTCGTGACGCCTGGTGTCGCGCTCCCAGTCTGTGTGGTGTTGCTCGAGCCCCGACAAAACCGAAGGGAAAGGCCTCACGTTGAGAAGCGCCGTCGTGATGCTCTGCGCCCTCATGGCCGTCGCTGGCTCGCAGCGCTTAACCAGGGCTCGCCACGCCAGCGCCCCCTTCTGGTCCTCTACACTCCTGATCAGCATCTGCGCGCTGCCCTTCACTGTCATGACCAGCGCGAAGAACATCTTCTTCGTCGCCGCAACACCCTCGGCTCCAAAACGTTGCAAAGTCTCTGCCTTGCTGGTGTTTGGCTCTCCACGCTGCTCGGCCGCTTCCAGAAGATTCAGCGCCTGAGCCGTCTGGCCGCCCAGGTACGCCCTCATCACCAAGCTCCACTCCGTCCAGTGCTCCTCCTGGCCGTCGAACGTTGGCGGCTTCAGCCCCGAACCCTGCCACTAAGCACCAGGCTCTGTCATGGTCACGTAGACCTCGTCCTGCACTCTGGTGGTCGCGTATGACCTCGTGTTGCACTCCTGTGGTCACGTAAACCTCGTCTTGCACTCCTGTGGTCACGTAGACCTCGTCTTGCACTCATGTGGTCACGTAGACCTCGTCCAGCTGCTCGGCCTGCTGGTTGCCGTAGATCACTTGCCCTGGCTGGCCGGCTGCGGCCGCGAGGGCAATGGCCAGCGCCCTCAGCCGCGGGAGGGGCGCCCAGCGGGAGCTGGCCACAGACAGCTCCGCTACCATGATAACTTTTGTACCAACGATGCTGCGGAAAGGGTAGCGTATCAGGCTCTTGTTTGGACGTGTTTAAGCCCGCTCTACAGACGGTTTCCCTCAACAATGACAGCTCCTTCGATCCTCGAAGGCAGGGCATTTCCTGGAGCGCCCAAGATGACGACGATCAGGTTAGGCATCTCCTCCCACAGGCGGATGTTTGACGAGGAAACAAGTTGTGACAAAAAATGGTAAAACAAACAATCATCCCCACACGATGTTTAAACCTATGTTTGTATATTCCTCCTGTGAGGGGACTGGCCCAACTTAAGACGACGACGGAGCTTCGACGACCGACCGACGGCGGCGACTCGGGGAGGGCGGCATCCCGCCTGGCGCGCCGCGTCCTCCATGGTGGCCTGCGCGGCCACGCCCCCAGCCCCGCCCCCCGCCCGCCAGCGCCGGTGCCAGCGCCGTCGTCGTCGTCGTCGACGTCGTCGTCGCCGTCGTCGTCGTCGTCGTCGACGCCGACCTCGTCGTCGTCGTGATCGGGATGATCGTAGTCGACGTCGTCGTGCGTCGTCGTCGTCGACCTCGTGGTCGTCGTGGTCGTCGCCGTCGTCATCAGTCGTCGTCGTCGTCGTCGTCGTCGTCGTCAGTCGTCGGTCATCGGTCGTCGGTCGTCGGTCGCTGTCGTCGTCGTCGGTCGTCGTCGTTATCGCCGTCGTCGTCCTCGTCGTCGTGGTCGACGATCGCGGCTCGCGGATCGAGGTTCGACGATCGAGGGCAGGGGTTCGAAGGCCGAATATCAACGTATTGGACGTCTCCAGCGCCGGCATCGGAGTCGTCGCCGGCGTCGTCGTAGTTCTTCTCCGCCGCCGCCAGCTCCTCTGCCTCCTCCTCCTTCTCGTCCATGCCAGCCTCCACCTCCTCCACCTTCTCCACCCTACCTCTTTCCGCCCCGAAATTCCTTGCATTATGCTCCTCCAACTCCAACTCCTCCTCCTCCTCCTACTCCTCCTCCGTCTCATCCGCCTCTTCCTCAGTCTCCTCATTGTTTGTCCCACTCGTCGTCTTCGTCGATACGCGTTAGCAAGGAGGGCTGGAGGGAGCAACCTCATGAGGGATAAGGGGAGAGAAAGGACTTGGGGCAGCGTCCTAGCTCCATGCTGTTCACGAGTAATCAAGGTCCCTGCAGCTGTATTCAAGAGTGTGCAAGACTACTCGAACACCGAAGAATTCAATTCAATTCTAACCGCCTTCAACAAAAAACACATCAAGCATTACTCGAAACCGCTGACGCTTTACGTTAGACTAATTACCCGGAAATTCTGAAATCCTATGAAGCTGTATTCAATCCGCCACTGTGCCTTGTGCGCCTTGAGGCGTGGAAGAGTGCCAAGGGCTGTCTGGTTGTGGCTTCCGTTTTCTAATAAGAACCCCGAGCCTCTGGTTGCATGCACCGCCCACCCCCCCGAGGCCACGATCCCTCGCAAAAAAGTATGCGCCCGCCCTCCCCAGGGCACGGTCCTTCGTAACAAACAATGGACCCAAGCCCCGAGATTCCAAGACGGCCCATGCAGGCAACCAAAGACACCAAGATGCCTCAAAGACGGCCCGAGATGGCCCCAAGGCGGCCCGATGTTATGGCCTCAAGACGGCGCAATATGCATCCACGAGGGCGCAAAAAAGAGGGCCTCCAACAGGGCCCGAAGAGGTCAACATGATTGATTCCCCATTCGGTGTCTGAGTGAAATTCGCATGATCACCTTTTCTTGCTTCCGTCCGCTCAAGACGGTCCAAGAGGCCTCCACGATGGCCCCAAGACGGCCCAAGAGGCCCCCAAGAGGGTCCAAGGATTACCTAAAGAGGTCACACCATGGCCCAAGAAGCATCCAAAACGGCCCCCGAAACGACAAAAGAGAGACTCCAGTTGGACCCAAGACGGCCTTGGAAACCATTTCGACGGTCCAAGACGGCCACCAGACACGCACCATACGACCAAGAGGGCCCCAAGGCGATCCAAGACAGCCCCAAGACGGCGCAAAAGGGCTCCAAGTCGGCCAAGAGGGCCCTAAGGAAACCACAAGACTGCCTCACAGGAGGCCAGGACAGCCTCACGACGGCCTAAACGAGTTCCATGAGAGCACATCATTATAGTGAAGACGACAGATGTCACACGTGACGGCCGTCCTTTAACTCCTCCTCCTCCTGCTACTCCTCCTCCTGCTCATCATCATCATCATCATCATCATCATCATCATCATCATCATCATCACCATCATCATCATCATCATCATCACCACCACCACCATCATCATCATCATCATCATCATCGACAGCATCACCATCACCACCATCACCATCACCATCCTCATCATCATCATCATCGTCATCATCAGCATCATCCTTATCAGCATCAGCAACATCATCATCATCATCAACATCATCATCATCATCATCATCAACATCATCATCTTCATCGCCACCATCACCACCGTCATCATCATCACCATGCTCATCCTGATCCTCCTCATCCTTATCATCGGCCTCAACCTCGTCCTCATCCTCAAAAACATGATCGTCCTCCTCACACTCAGCAGCAATATCATCACCATCCGTATCATAATCATCATCGTCATCATTACTATGACCATCATCATAATCAGCATCGTCGTCATCACCACCACCATCAGCATCGCAATCATCATCGACACCAACATCACCATCATCACCATCATAACCATCAACAACAACAACATCACCACTCCCGCCATCCCACCATCACCAACACCATCATCAGCATCAACATCATCACCACGGCCCCAAAAATCATCATTCCAACAAGGCGATCATCATCATCAGCATCAACATCATCAGCATCATCACGTTAATCAACATCATCATCAACATCAACATCATCATCATCATCATCGTCATTATCATCATGGCCGCGCAACCCCTGGAGACTCGAAGAGCCACACGTGCCGGCCTCCCGTGCCCCCTCGACAACAAAACGCGCCCCAGAATGCTGGGCTGGCACGGTGGCGGGACTTGCCGCAGACAGCTGGATACGGTTCACGAATGTTCGAGTTCCCATGAGCTTTCTTCGAGGTTGATCAAGCATGTAACCGTTGGGGGCTCTGGTTGGTAATGTTCCTCCTCATGTTCATCGCCCTCATCCTTCTCCTGCTCTGGGCTCTTCCTCAAGCTCCTCCACCACACATGGTTGGTCAGACCAAAATACCAGAGAAAGCACGTGGCTACCCCGGCAAAGTACGATAATTCGTGAGTGCAGGGGCCATCAATGTTGAACGGACGTTGCAAGTCAGTAGCACTACGTGCTCAATCCCTCCTCCACCGCACTCTTCCTCCCCCTCGTCCTCATCCTCCTACTTACGCTTGCCCACCCCGCTTCCTCCTCCCCCCTCCTGCTGCGGGAGGGGCAGAAGGTGGAAGCTCTCAGCTCCTCCTCCCTTGGACTAGCCAAGCTCAGTTCCATCGAGAGCAGAAAGACAGTTGGCTCGGGCTAAGCCTGCTCACCATGATCCTCCTCCCACTAAACATGTTGATTGTCGTCCCTCTCCTGGTCTGAATTCTCTGCCTCCTCGTTTTCCTCCTCTGCCTCTTCGTCCTCCAGATCGTCCTCCGAATCGTCATGCTCGGCTCGCCCTCGTCGCCGCGTCGAAGTGCTCTTCTTTATGCCATACGATGCCCAGCCTTACCGTCCTCGCCTTCATTGTCCAGCTCCTCCTCCTCCTCTTCTCCTCCTCCCCCTCCTCCTCCTTCTCCTCCTCCTCCTCATCCTCCTCCAGGTTTGTGTGTGTGTGCCCTCCTCCTCCTCGCTCACTTGCCAGACGACTTCTTCCAAGGTTTGTTCTGGCAGCAAGGCTGTCCAAAGAAATCCAGCTTTGGGGACGCAGACACTCGAGCATGCCCAAAGAGACCCCCGAGCGCCCAAAACTAATTTGCATTTGTTCTAGAAGAAGGCATGGCATTGACATTGCCTTTCGGAGGTCCGCGCGGATTTCTTGGATCACCGCTGGGCCCCCTCCCTGGCGAGCGGAGCACACCCAGAAGCATCGCCAGAAGGTCCAGCGCCGATCCGAGAAATCCGCAAGGACCTGCGAACATGTTCTATACATGCAGATGCGGATGATGCGGTTCGCCCTCGATTCTGGATCAATCCCTCATCCTCTGCTGACGGATTCGGGCGCACGATCATCTGGGTTGCAAATCCGTGAATCTAGCAAGCGGGTGCGGTGCAGTTCCTCGACCCCTCCTCATTCTCCTCTGGACCCCTCCTGACAGCGCATCCAGCGCAGCTCCTGCAGCGCTCTGCGCGCCAGGGAGGGGGTCTGGCGCCGATCCGACAAGCCCTCGCGGACAACCGAACTTGTATGACTATGCCGTCTCGTGTTCTTCGATAATCCTCCCTCATCCCTTCTCCTCCATTATTCGATGATTCCCCTCGATTCTCTTGTGCTTGTTCCCCACCAGACAGGCTGGGGCGACTCCCAAAACAATGCTGAAACTTAGGGCGTCTAACTTCCCTTTCAAGGAACTGGGCCCGTGTGTTGGCCTGGCGGCCCTCTTCCCATCCGTCGCCGCCCCAGTTCACCAATACAACGCTCCTCTGTTGGCCCCGCGGCCACGTTCCCGTCCGTCGCCGCCGCCCCGTCGCACCCCCTCCGCCCCGTTGCACGCACACCCCGGTTGTATCGCAAGCTGTGCACTGCGTTGCATGTCTTTGCATCGCATTCCATGTCTTTGCATCGCTTCGCATGGTTTTGCAGTACTTTGCGTTGATTTGCACTGCTCCGCATCGCATTACGTTGCTTTGCATGGCTGTTCACTGCTTTGCATTATGCTGCATTAGTTTGCACTTGTTTGCATTGCGTTGCACATGTGTGCTTGCTTTGCATTGCGTTGCACTGCGTTGCATTGCTTTGCTTGGCGTAGAGTGCACCTCACGGATTGAACCACATTGATTGCAGCACCTGGATTGCACCGCGTGGATTGCAAGAGATCGCTGCTTGGGGTCCACACGCTGCATACCGCGGCCGCCAGGCCTCACGGGTTCTGGTGCTCCCTGAGTATCCCGCCTTGCGTCTTCGATGACTGACGACTGCACGACGCGGGGCCAGGCCCCAAAAATCCAGTTGCTCCACGAGTATCCCGCCACACAAGCTCGGATGGGGCTCGCCGGCACAAAAGAGTGAGAGGCAGACGAAATAGAAGCATAACCATAAACTTTCACAGCGCTGCGCGGATTTTTCGGATCGGCGCTGGAACCCTATCCCTGGCGCGCCAGGGGCGGCGCTGGAGGCACCTTCAGGGAGGGTTCCGAAAATTCACGTTTATGCTGCTTGGTCTTACTTCCATCTTCAATGGTGTACGCCGCTTTTCAACGGCGCGCCTGGGGGGGATGTGAGAAGGGGCATGCGTGCCTTCTAAGAAAACGGAAGGGGCTTCTCAGAAGCCCTCCGGCCTCCTGAGAGGCCGCCTCTGTCCTGTCTCTGGAGGAGGCTTCGAAAAACTCTGGGAAGGGCAGAAGCCCTCCAGGCCTTCTGGGAAGACACGCCCCCTGACCTTCCCCCCTGCGCTGCCCGCCGAGTTTCTGTGTTTCGATCATCCTCCCCCCTTAGCACGGAGGAGACGGGAAATGAGGGAAGCTGGGGCCTGGACCCCGGGGCCTTCCCCCAAGGCGAGATCTTCATCCTGAATCGTTTTCTGACAATCCTGGGGCCCGTGGAGGGCCCCGAGAGCCCGAACACGGCGAGAAACCTCAGGAACCGTTTCCCTCAGGACCTGTGTGCCCCCATTGCGGTGTATGCGTTTTCTGTTTCTCTGTCAGTATCCTCCTCCTCCCAGGTAGCGCCCAGTCCCAGGCCTTCTCCATGGCGTAGGTGCGGATGAGGCTCGCGGATCCGCTCTGCAGGAAGGACCTCTGACCAGGCACGCCGCCGCCGTGCCGCCCTTGCACTTTTTGCGACTGGTGGGCCTGAGGTGTTATGCCTGTGGCGTCCTGGCTGGGAACGAAACGGTGTAGCGATCCGACTTAGAACACGCAACAGCACATTAAGGCAGCAAGTCAGTGCGGAAACACGTGAGGCGAATGCGCCCCCGCCCTCCTACTCGTGAGTTGGGCCTGTCCCTCTACAGAAGGAATATTCAACAGTATCGATAAAAAACAATAATATGGGGACGATTTCTTCAGCATTGTTTGGCTAGTTTCGACCATGTTTTGACTATCTTTAGTTCTTCTACCCCAAATCCGCCTGTAGGAAGACATACCCGACCTAATCCTACTCCTGCTCGTCAGGGGGCAACTCCGGGGAGGTCCTTGCGGGCGCACACTAACCCTGAGACTCGGGCGTCGCAATTCTTCATGACGGGCGATTGCGCCCTCTATGTCGGACCCTGAGACCCTCTTGGATCGATTCGGCTCGACCAATGCCGCAGAAAGATTAAGTCCAAGGATCCGATCACGATTTCCGGATCTTGGAGAATATGGATTACGAATATGTGGATCTGGCGCATGGGGGCGCCAGATCCACGGATCGGGAAAGGTACACCTCCGAAACGTGACGCCAGTGACGCCTGATTAGGCGAGGAAGCGCGCCGATGTTCTGCGAGCGGGCCCCGTCGCTAACCCACGCGCCATCGTTCATGTTTACGCCTCCTCGGTCTTCGTGGGAACGGCGAGTAAGCCGACTCTGTCAGCGTGCGCGAGAGGCCTGTCGGGTCTTGTCGAGCGGAGACCTGGCAACATCCGTCCATCCCAGAACCACTTCTACACAGAACCAGCTCTTCTGATACGAGGGAAGCCCGTTCCCCGTGTCCCTGCTCCTCCGCGTGGGGGAAGGAGGGGGGGAAAAAACAAAAACTCATAGACATCCTCTTTCGGAGGTCCGCGGCGCGGACTTCTTGGGTAGGCGCTGGAGCCCCCCCAGGCGGCGCCTCCAGCGCCACATCTGGCGCGCTCCGCGCGCCAGAGACGCGGTGCCGTCGCCGGTCCAAGAACTCCGCGCGGACCTCCGAAAATTTATATGTATGTCGTTGGTCCTTCTCGATCTAATTCCAGGTGGGGGGTCATTGAGCCGGTTCATGCTAGATGAAACCACATGTTAAGTCAGATTGCTCGGGGTTGCGCGGGATTGGGTTGCAACCGAGCTTCGGGAGCCAGTGAGGAAACATACGAACTCCCAAGAACCTCCGAGGGCATCCAAAAAGCATGTCGGCCGGCCTCTGACATCTCCCTCCCCCCTCCTGCGTCATTCTCCCTCTCTTGGGAAGGAAAAACGATAAAGGGTGATGAAGTCAGATTAAGGAGCCAGCCGGCCACAACAGCCCACATTAAGCCCATGGCCAAGCCAGATAAAACCATACTAGGCGGGATCATGCCAGATTAGGCCCGTTCTCGACCACGGATATACCAACGCCGATGTTGAATTTAACCTCCGAGAAATGACATCCTAACATCCCCCCGTTCCCTTCCAATTCCTCGCTCCAAGTGTTGACTTCCCCGTTTTCTGGCCCCGAGAGATCGCGCTGGGCGCGGCACCAGAAAAACTCCCCACGGGACGCCCATTGCCAGGTTCGGCGCCGGCTCTATTATACGACCGCTCTCGCCGCAACGTTCCGCAATGTGTTCCCTCCCTCCCTCCTCCTCCCCCCCTCATTTCCCTCCTCTCCCTCCTCCCTCCATCCCTCCCTCCGCCCCCCTCTGCCCAAAACATCCTTCGTCGTGACTTTGGAACGTTAGCAGCCCCCAACGAGGTCCGCACTCCGTTCCAAGGATCGGACAGGCTTCTCGTCCTGAAGCGTTTTTTTCGACTGTCCAAATAGGCTAGGCGAGCGCGCGATGAGGCCGAAAACGCTCGTCGTGCTTTCGCAACGACGCGACGGAGGAGGGGGCGGAAGGAAGGACAAACTCATCCTTTCCCCACGACGGAGGAGGAGGGAGGGGGGGGAGGGAGAAACCCATCCATCCTTTCCCCCCTCCTCCCGACTCCCGCTCCGTTCCGCGGAGGCCTGAAACGCGCCCGTCCGCGGAGGAAATCGTGCACGGGAAAAGCTAGGTCGCCTAACTTCGCGCATCGCGCCCGCCCCGCGATGCGCGACGCGCGATCATCTTTGCTCACGCCCTCGCGACGCCCCCTTGGAGAAGGGCAGCCGCTCTGGCCAAGACCACGACGTGCGAAGCGCGGCTATCTTCGCGCGCCGAAGCGGACGACCCAGAAAAAATAATGCTGCGGGACAGTACGGGAGGCCTCCGAAAACGAGTCCGAATAGACGGGGTCGAAGTGTCGAGCCGGGTCGCCGACGCATCGGCGATGCATCGGCGACGCCGGCGCGAAGAAAATCGGGCCTCACATCGAGCCGCATCGCCAATGCATCGGCGATGCGGACCGACCCTCCGATCCATCTTCGGCAAGTTCGGGTCGCGCCAACTTCGGCGATTGTTCCTGACACCGCGGGGGTCTTCAACCTTGAACGACCGGCCGTTTCCAGAACGTCAGGCCGTTCAGCATCGGCGCCAGGCGCATGCCCCCGCTGCTGCGGAGGCGCGCGCACCCTGAGTGTCTGCTGACCTCGCTGGTGATCTCCCTGACCGGTATGAGAACTAAACGGCCGTGGAAAGCGGGCCCCTCGCCCCCGACAGAGCCTCCTCTTCTCCGTCGTCGCCCTCTTTCTCCCTCTCACGCATCCTTCCATCTGATGCAACTCCGTCCTCATCCTTCTCTCGCGAACGACCGCGCCGTCCTCTCTTCTGCCTGTGCGCCCCCCTGGTCGCCTCCGCTCGGCCGGCCGCGGTTGCTGGAACGGGTGGCGGTGCACCCAGAAGCTTCGAGTTTTTTGGGGGGGCGTGCAGGGGCATCTCGACCAGGGCCGCCGCCGCCCCTCTGTCGTGGAGGGGGCCCGGCGAGAATGGGCAGTCGCCCCTCTGTCCCGGAGGGGGTCCGGCGAGAATGGGCCGCCGCCCCTGCCCCGGCGGGGGCCCAGTGAGAATGGGCCGCCGCCCCTCTGTCCCGGAGGGGGCCCCGCGAGCAGGGCGGCAGGACGACGAGGGGGGCGGGGGATGGGGGGGGCCGACGGAGAGGGAGGCGAGGCACGATGGGGAGGGCAGGACGAACGCACAGGGAGGGGGCCTGACAGGGGGGGGGGCGAGATGAACGCGCGCGAGGGGGGAGGGGGACTGACGCGGACCATGGAGGGAGAAAGGGGCGACGGAGATACTTTGGGGGCAGGGGGCAGGGCGGGGGAAGGAGGCGCGGGAGGACCAGGGCGCGGAGCACGCTTAAGAGAAAGCAGAACCTTTTTTGCTTCACTTTCTCTGCTATGTCACCGCCAGGGCTGCGTCCGCAGCGCCGAAAGTTGGGCCACCGCCGCTGCTGCGGCGGCTGCGTGACTCTGCTGTGCATTATGCCCCCCCCCCCCCCCCCCCCCTCCCCTCGTTGCCCCCCTCAACCTCCTCCCCCCCCCCCCCCTCTCCCCCCCCCCCTCCTCTTTCCTCCTCTCCCGCTGACGGCTCGTCGGGGGCCGTTGCACTCCGGCGATCGTGCGCCGCTGTCACGGGCCCTCCGCTGCTGCGGCGGGGCGGCGCGCCCTCCGCCGCTGCGGCCGGATCGCGCGAAGTGGGCCCCCTCGCCAAGGATTGTTAGCCCACCGCCTGCGGGGGCTCTGCCTGCCTCCTCCGAGTCCTTCATCCGTTTCTTCTCCTGCTCTTTCTGCTCTTCCTGCCATGCCTGCTTCTCCTCCTCTGGGTCGGGTGCCTACTTCTCTTTCGTGGTCTGTAAGGTCTGCGGGATCTACAGAGGCACCGCGCGGCGCACGCACGGGGCAACCGCGCTGCAGACGCGCGCGGGCGCGGAAGGCGTGCACTTTGTCATTGTCTGGAACACTAGTGGGCGAAGGTCCACGCTGAACTTCCAGTGCCCCTGCCCCTCCACTAGCCGGGCGCGGACCAGGTCTTCTGCTGTCACCCTGTCGACGCCCCGGAAGAAGCGCGAGGGCCCGCCCCCCCCCCCCCCCCCCTCCGCATAAAATGGCACGGGTTTTCTGACTTGTCGGCCTCGTCCTCTGCAACCCCCCGCTGCTGCGGGAGCCGCCCCTTCGACATCCGCCCCCGCGGGGGCCGCGGCGCTTCCTGGCGCCCCCCCCCGCCCGCGCGGGCGTCAGCTTCCATTCAGGTAATCTGAAACCGGGCAACGCCCAATGCGTTTCCAATTGCTCGACAGGGATCGGACGTTCCTCACCGACCTGCAACTGCGCCGCCCGCGGGTTGCCAATGACTTCCGGAAAAGTCTTTGCGGGGGGGCAGCAGGGGCAGAGCGGCGGGCACCCCGTCGGATGTGTCCTCAGTATCCACCACATTGGCACTCTTCGCTTGAACGGCGCACGGCATTTGGATGAGTTTGGCGGACGTGCCCGTGCGTCGATGGAAAGCAGTCACCAATTCCGCGATGTTTGCTTGATGCCGCCTTTCTGCGTCGAGGCCGGCAGACGGAGCCGAAGCGCGCCGCGAGTTCACCGGGGCCACCAGGACGCAGCCCCGGAGTTTTGACAGCTCGGACATCTGTCTGTTCACGGGCTTGTCTTCTTCGTTGAACTGAATCAGAGATGGCCGCGGGCGAGAGCTTCGACGACCCCCGCTGCAGCGAGGGCCGCCTGGTTTCTCGGGGCGCGCGGGCAGATCGTCGGCCCGCGGCGCAGGATGGGGCGGGGGATCTCGACGCGCGTTCGTTGCCAGTGCTGGGCCTCGCGCGCTTCAGCGTAGTGCGGGCGCGCTGCCGCGCGCGCGGTTCCACGAACTTCGCGCCCCCTGCGTTGCCTGTCAATATTACGCGCGCTTGTTTTACAGCTTCCGTCGCAGTGAGGAGCGCCCCCGCGATCAAAGTCGCGCTCTTCTCCTCCGTCGCGGCCCCCGCTGCTGCGGGGGCCA